GTTTCCCCAAATGCCTGGCAAAAGCCAAAAACAACACAAGAAAGGGTTTTGCAGGTGAAAGTTGTGCTGGTAGGTGCAGACCTGATATAATGTCAGGTTTAAAGGGAGAAAATCTCTAAGCAGGTGTTGGTAATTAGAAAATAAAAATTAAGACACATCCATTATTTATTGAAGCTTCTATAAATGGAGTTAATTTAGAGATATGTCTAAATATGTACCAACTTTACCTGATTTTATATTATTGAACAAGTTTGTTAATGTTTTCTTTATGGAACTTTTATTTTAAAGTGCTAAACAGTGCTATAGAGCAGAAATGTGCATGTACCAAAGCAGAGGAGGCCTCATGTCTTATCTTTCTATAGAGAAATTCTGGACTAACATAAATCATCAAACAACACTAAAAAGTGAGCTTATCAATGTTATCTCAGTCTTACTACTTCTGATTATTTTCTTTAGTTAAATTTATCATTAGATATTTTTTATCCATGGAAACAGGTGTATTTATGGAATCAATCTGTGATACAGTATTTATTTGGTTTCTTACTCTGATTTCTTTCAAAATTAATTTAAGCTCTCATGAACAATAACCAAACTTTTAAGCATGATTTGTCCTGTTTGTATTTTGCTATGTGTGGAATTCATGCATTGCTCTTTTCTATCACCCCCTGTATGCACTGGAACTAACCCCAGATTTTGGCCTGATTTTCTTTTCCATTGTGAGAGCCTATTATCTAATTATTTATTACCTACCAGCAGATAAGACATTAATTCTTCATTTATTTGACAGTCATTATTCCATTTTAGGAACCCAGAGATACTTGATAATAAATAACTAATGATATTTTAAAAGGCAGAGCTCTTTAACAACTGTCTGCATGCCACATGTATCCAATTCCTGATTTATCTGCTGATTTTCAGTTACTTTTTTTAAACCAAGCAGAATAAAATAGCATTTATACAGTATCTTAGATGAGTTGTTTGCTGCACTCCAATCCCTTTGTGCTGGGACAGAGTTAATTTGGGTTAATTTTTGGCTGGGACAGAGTTAATTTTTTTCCCAGTAGCTGCTGTGGAACCATGTTTTAGATTTGTGCTGAGAACAGAGCTGATAACACAGAGATAGAGCAAGGGTTAGACAGAGTCAAGG